ATTTTTTTTTTCATAATCTTTGGTCTTAAACTTTTCTAAAAATGTATACTTTGCCACGGTTTGGAATTAAATCTTAGCCATAAAAAAATGGTGTGTTTTTGTTTGTAGCCCCGCCTCAAGTCAAGAGTTTTAGATAGAATACTACTGGCCTACCACTGAAACAATTGTTACATCACATTTCACATATGCATTAGGTAAAATTCGCTAACACGACAAGATTCACGGTGCAAAAACAAGATGTGGGTTAGTTAGTGGGTGCACGTGAGCGGGCGGGCAAACGAGAGGCACAGGACATTATTGTCTTAAGGACGGTGCCTACTAAATACATAGGTTTTTGCGCCAGGTTAGGACCACGCGGAAAAAGTAGATTTTTGCAAGGGCTATTGGAATCCACAGAGAAAAATGGGGTAGCCACGCATTTTTTCGAGATAATTAGCCTTGAAGCTCAACAAAAATGCTGACGTCAGCATTTTTCTGAAAAAAATGGGAAAATGATATTTCTTCACAGATTTCCCTAGAATTCGCCTTTACATACAAAAAAAAGCAAACAAATATATAAAGATATTAAAACTGCATGGTAAATGGTAACATAAAAACCATTTTTGATATGTTTTTAATAACAAAATCGTTGCAACAGTGCTGTTAGTGCCTCTGACAGCATTCCTCTAGTTCAGCTAAAATACAGTCTAAATACCTTTTGCTCACAACCAGAAACTAATCATGTGTTGAATAGCCTTGCCACTTCCATTTCATAACATAAAATGAAGGGGTAACCACGTGTTTTTTAAAGTTATTGATCTTTTTTGAAAACTTTTACGGTGCCCGTTACATTTGTTCTTGTCACCTCCCCAGTAAGTAAATCATTTGCGTATCTCGTACTTATTTTGCGCGCGCACTACGTACGCCATCTGCAGGTAAAAGGTTACAGTCGGATTTCGGTATAATTTTCGACAGATAACAGCTAGTTTTTCAGCTGGAAGCCGTTAACAGTTAGTGCTTAGCAATATGCTGCTATTCTGGTGTTCCTGGTTTAAGTACAGGTTCATTAAACTTGATTTGGTCACAGTAGGAAAATTTTGCTTTCATTTCAGTCGTGTATTTGGTAGCGTAGTTGATTGCGTCAATGTCAACCCCAGCGTGCGCGTGGCACTTAATCCATAAAATGGGGTGATTACATCAACACACGCCTTTTTGATGAGATCCTCCTAAAAATACTGGTTGCCCTCAGTGCAACTTGACATATTCTCCGGTTCGCTGCATTCGACAATGTCACTGATTATTTACAAGCAAGGATTAAGGACAAAAGACTTAATATCCCATATGGGCCTTATTCCCAAGGTAATCCCCTCAAGTTATTTTTAGGACTGTTACCCAATTCTTCCGCGGATAATGTTACCGCGCGCGTTGGGCGGATGTTTTCGTGGAGATCTAGACTCCCCTGTAATTTCTAAAATCCGGAGAAATCTAAAAATAGTTTGAGAGGGATACCTTAAGAATAAGGACTGTGTGTAGATAAGCTGTCTCACTCCTCATCTTATCTCGTAATTTACAATTTGTTGACTTTTATCACACCTCTGCTGATAATTTATGTAGTTTGAAAAGAAACTGTGGTCAATTGTGCTTGAAGTTGTATTTGAAGGAAAAATGTGACGGAGCTGTTATTTTTTTTTTTATTTAAACCTTTGTACAGTGGGCCTTGGTGACTCACGTGATTTCATGGCCATTGTCCTGTATGGTGGATTCATCCGTGTCGTCATATCATTAGGAGACCAGCCTTTGACATTAACAGTTGCACGTGGCCCTCGACTGGATGATGGTGACTGGCATCACGTCGAAGTGCGCCAGGAGCTGAAGGTATTAACATACACTTTAATTTCCGTGGTCGTGACGTGTCGTGACATCGACCTCATCATCTTGTAACTCACTACAATCGTACATAACTCAATAAACAAGTCAGAACTAGAAGCTAACAAATATTTCAAATAACAGCATAAAATAAATCACTTCAGCACCGCTGTGGCAATTAGGGACACTGAAAATGAAGAAACAAATAGTGTAAATAGAATTAAAACTTGTTTAAAAAGAACAAGTTGTTGTTTAAAACTAGTCGGAGGCTAACCAATTGGCTATTTTCAAGACGAAGACGACCTGAATTCGGGACCACCTAACACAAATCCATCTAGTGGCAGGGAAGAGAATTTGAACCCAGGACCTCCGGATTACAAATCCAGCGCTTTGATCACTAGGCCACGCATCCTCCGCTTTTTGTGTCAAGCGCGGGGAAACGCGTCTAAGCAAACCCACGATTGGGTGTAGGTTTTGCTTCTGATTGGTTAACCAAGCAACGTGATCACAAATGACTGTTATAAATGATTCTTATAAGAAGTGCACGCATATATAAACGGTACGTGTACTGATATATATTTCAAAGTTTAAATCTCTAGAGGAAACCCGTATTAAACGCCTTGTTTCAACAGGCCACGTTCGATTTATCAGTATTCTGCCATGGTCACGAGGCTTTCAGGACAAACTTCTACATTTGGTGGTGTTTCCTTTGTTTCCAAGTCTCTTTTGGGAATTGAGAGACAAAAGAGACTTGAAAATTTTTCAATTTTGACCCGAAAGCCTCGGATCCATGTTAGAATATTGATATGTCGAACGTGGCCCATTAGGAGGTCATGTATCCTAAGAAAAGGCATGGATTGTAGATTGATAACGGGTCCGTTTAAACTAGCATTATGGTCCTAATCCAAGAGGATCCAACTACTGTGAAAGGGAAAACTTCGTCCCAGAATCGTAACTAAACGTTTTTTTGTTTTACAGACTATTACGGTAACAGTTGACTACTGCAGGAACGCACGCATGATACAACTAGGTGATGAGCTGGTGGAAGATGAAAGCGAGTGCAAAATATCAGGAAACATCAGAGGAACAAGCTAGTAAGTATCTAATACAGTCCAGCCAGTGATCCCTTCTAAATTCACCATACACATCGCGGTCATTTTATAAAAAAAATTGAGTCAAAGTTCACACTACGCCAGAAAAATTTAAGGACCCAGCTTTATTTTCTTTTGGTAAGGCCTACCGTTCACACTAACCTGCCACGAAAACGGTGCTATTCAAAAACGCTCTTCAAGCCGGAGGAATTTGAAAACGCCGGCTTCTCGTTGTCGTGAGACAGAAAACATTTTGAAACCGGAGCTTTTCGAAAACGATGTCGTCCCGATAATCATGTGATATCGCTTCCCGAGTTTTCCTCAAACACAAATCCAAAATGACCGAGGATGTTGCTTTTCTCAAATTCCTCCAGCGTATTGGGGACGGTCCCTTAAATTTAAGGTGCAGCTTAACTTAGTCGCGTATTAAAGTATATGTATAAGAAACTAACAACATGAAAGATATTCGATGTGATAAATACAATGGTGATGAATTATAAGTTCGGCCCCACGGTGGTTAGTAATTGTATTTCGTCTGTCGCGAGTGCTGATTTCTGTTTCGCAAACGGCCGATGCCATTTCCCATTATTGGCAACCAATGCAAGCCTTTCAGAATGGACGATGCCATATCTGCTTTAGTTTACAACAACAACAACATTTATTACTTATCTGCGCTTTTTCTATAAAAATAGTCAAAAGTGCATTATAATTAGATAAATTCTTACAAATTACAAATTGAGAATTAAAACTACCAACGCTTCCTGAAATTTAAGATCTAAAATCCTATAATATATTCGAGGATTGGACTTACAACAAAATCTTAACAAAAGGCCTTAGAGAACAAATGAGACTTAACTAAACGCTTAAAGGTATTAACGTTCGTAGCTTGCCTCGTTGGTCCTCATTGACAAGGGAAGGCCTGGTAGAACCGTAGAAACTGAAAACTGTAAAATTTGTTGATGGAGCAAAAGGCACTCACCAAATGCTTAATTGTTCGTCTTCACACTGGTTTGCTTGCGGTTAGCTTTTATTTGATGGTTGGGGCAAATCTGTCATTAATAGTTAAGAAAGTCACGCTTTACAGTTAAATTTGCGGAGACTTGGCGGGTCAACCTGGTAGTGTAGTGGTAAAAGAGGGATGTTAGGCAACAGAGGTTCCGTGTTCGATACTGAGTGCTTACTTACAAATTTTCTTTTTTCTTTAATTTAGTAGAGAAAAATTCGTTGGTAGTAAAAAAATTTATAAGTGCGGCGAAAATGGCATCGAACGTTTACGAAAAGGACAGCTGCGTCGCGAGCATGATACAAAGTTTTCTCCTTGATTTGAGTAGGATGACGGCCTCCTGCACATTGGTAAGACGCTAAAACTCTGAGCGAGAGAAGACTCGTGACGTCATAGATAAACCTTGTGCGGCTGTATATCCCAGGTTGCCACTAGTGTCCTGAAGCTCAGCGCGTACAGAGTCTGAGAAGTGTGAGAAGGGCCATGGATTCTACTCCTTTCAGAGAATTTTTTCTTTTCCCATAGTTTGTGTCTGAATACAGTTAGAGAGAAAGATACCGCTAAATTTTCATGATTGAATTCGACGCATTAATGTTTTTCCTGCAGTTACCTGAACAGTCTCTGGCCACTACAGATCGGAGGTGTCGAGAATCCACAAATTAAGTATCCGGAACTTAACTACACGGGCTTCACTGGCTGCATACGAAAGATTTCAAACAACAAGCTTATGTACGATCTCAAAGATCCACTGAAGGTAGTAAATTCTCCCGAGGGCTGCACAAAAGCGCGCTGTCCGAATTGTAACAACAAAGGATACTGCGAGCCGTACTTGAAGAAAGCAAGTGTTTGTGTTTGTGATGTTGGATTCTCCGGCACAAATTGTGCGACAAGTAAGCATGCGCAGTAGAGACCCAGACACACTATACAACACTGTGCACGATGTACCACGTAATATTGCTTGCACCGTATATACGTTCACGCCTAGAACCGTTGTTGAGCAGATCATGTATTGTTTATCCTAACCGCTTCGCTGAAGGAGTATGTAATTGCTTTCAAAGTCTGCAATATCGTGAGCGACCACTGTAGCTGTGTGCACCACTTCTTTGTTTTTAAATGACGCAATCACGACGTCGACGCCGGGTAAATGAAAACCTAATTTAAAATCTACTTACCATTTTGTTAGCTTCTCTAATCTTTTGAGAGAAATACAGTGAGAGAAATTTTTCTTGTCGCAGAATAAGATATTGCGGCTCCTTCAAAGGCTGAAAATTTACTGACGATAAACGAGCTGCATTCAATCAAATAAGAAACCAGGAATTAATTTTTAAAAAAAACAGAAATCATTGTTGACAACTTATGAAACACATTTTAACAAAATAACCGTGAGGAGATTAACAGGTACTTTGTCTTTTTACTAACGTTTACTATGCTCTCTTCCTGACAACATTTTCTATGTTGCCTTCCTGTGTAGCCACTAATTCAAAGTGTTTCTTTTGTTTAACTTTATACAGAGGCGATTGGAAATTTCTATTTAGAAAATAGCTACTCTCAGTACGAGGACACATCGTTGACGTCATCAACATCACCATCGTCATCATCTTCGTCGTCATCATCGTCATCGTCATCATCGTCCTCGTCCTCGTCTTCGTCTTCGTCTTCGTCTTCGTCTTCGTCTTCGTCTTCGTCTTCATCGACTTCGTCGAGAAGAAGACGTGAAATTGCAGAACCGCCTAAACCAATAACAAGTAAATACTTTACTCTAATCGCGCTCAAGGTCACAGCCAAACCTTCTGTCAATGACAGTCTTCTATTCCTGATCACCAACAGATTTGGAACGGAATTCGTCAGGGTTGGCGTAAGTTATACCAATTAATTTAAACAGTGAAATATGATATTATCCCAGTATTGGAATAGAAAATTATACAATTTGTATTGTCAAGAATCAGGATTTTAAGGACTTTCAAAGGGAGTCTGATGTCAAATATGTCTTGTAAATTCAAACTTAACAACACTTCATTAGAAACGAAAGTTTCTACTTCAGAGAGAATTTTATTAGTTTCATTACAGTCTGGCCCTTTCATTCTACTATGAAACCGTCCAATCGCAAATTTATGTTTTAATTTTTTATGCTGGTTTGTACGAAGTAATACATGACCCCATGCAAGGACTTATAATTTCCCACCTCTTGGATAATCAAGTCCGGGCATCTGTCATCCAAAGTAAATCGGTGACGCACGTATAATCAAAAGTCACAGAAATCCACATGCATGCTTTTGATTTCTCTTCTAGATATTCAAACAAATACTGCGTTGCGTGATCAGATTGGCGGGCAGGACGAAAATACTTTCGCTTCCTGATGTAAACATCACCGATAACAAACCCCACATAGTCAAGGTGGAACGGATGGGTAACACTGCCACATTACAGGTCGATTATGCGGGTAAAGTGCAGGGTAGCACAGGTGGCAGCAATCACCTGATAGATAATGGCGGTGGAGCTTTGTTTTCTGGAGGACTGAGAAAGCTAACAGCTCTAAAGGTGCTGCAGGCGATCGTGAAAAGCAATGGTAAAGCAATCGTGCAAACGGCAAACGGGAGCCTTATCTCAACGTTTTCTTCGTTCGTGGGTTCTTTGTCCGGAGTGAGTTTGATAACGATCAACAACAAAGGCGATGTTTCCGTTACGAAGCTCAAAAACGCAACTCTCATTCGCCAGTATCTGAAGCATACCATTCGATCCGTTTATAATTCAAGTTCCCAGAAAATTGTCATTGGAAGCGCGGGAGTTAGTGTGACCGAGGTACGCCTTAGCAACAGCAGTCATCAAAGCGTTCAGCAGGTCTTACAGCGAAGAAACCAGCAAAATGCAAAGGGAGCAGCCGGCGCTGGGAACGCGGCTGCTATCGGCACGAACGCCGTGGTCAGTGGCGGGAAAATCAGTTCCGTAGGCAACTACGGTTCAAAAATAGAGTTAAAACAAACGACCGCACGAGAGAAAAACCAAACTGAAGAAGGTGTGGATGAATCTTATGCAGGTGAGATGTATTCTTTTCTACACTTTAGGGCACTTTAGGGCCTTCTAGTAAGTCAAAATTTCAACTAACCAGTGAGGGGTGTTCGCTGAATCTCGTTACATTAAAAGTAAAAAAAAAAGAAAACTGATCCTCGCGACAAGTAGAAGAGATTGAAACAGAGTTAAACTTATGAGCAGACACATGAAGATATTTGCTCAGTCATATTCAACAATTTTCATAGTTTCGAAGATCATTTTGCCGTTGAGTACTTATCATAGAAAGTCTTAATTTTTGGGGAGTGGGGATTGCGCGGTGGTGAGAGCACTCACCTTCCACCAATGTGGCCCGGTGTCATATGTAGGTTGAGTTTGTTGGTGGTTCTCGCCCTGCTCCGAAGGTATTTCTCTGGGTTCTGCGGTTTTAATTACTCCCTCTGCAATAACCAACATCTCCAAATTCCAATTCAACCAGGATAGGAGACCAGCATGAAAACCAGCCAAGGCTGATGTGGCTTCCTCTACAAACATTGTAATTTATTTTTATTTGTCTTTTTAATTCCAGGCTGTATCCCACAAAATCGACTCAATGGCATGGATCTTGATCAGGAAAAAAGCCCAGTAAAGGTCCAGCGTCAGAATGTCGTGTTTGGATGTCCGTGTGAAAAAGGAGACTGTGCTAACAATGGAAGCTGTGTGGTCAATGTCACTACACCACTTGTTAACGTATGCAAGTGTGTTGGAACTTGGGGTGGACTTCGATGCGAAAAGGATGAAAAAATTCCGATCAAGGGAGCCGCCCCACGTGAGTATTTCTAATATTCTAAACGAAGGCTAGAACGCAGGTAAAAACCAACGAACGAATTGACGGAAGCAGGTAAACACGGATGCACGGAGGCACGGACGAACTAGCGGAGGACAATCGAAAGACTTGCAAAGGAACCATTGAGTGAACGAGTGAAGGGACGGACGGGCGAACAAAACAATGAACAAACGGACGGAAGGGCAGCCGGGCAAACAAACGAACAAACGAACAAACGGAGAAGAGAAATAAAGAACGAACCTGCGAGCTAGCGAACTAACGAAGCAACAAAACAACTAACAAAAGAACAAACCAGTGAGCCAACGAATACGCCACATTCGTATTCTNCAGACATAACTCGCATGAGAAAAGGTCGCTTAGATATAAACCTCCATCACTAAAAGTGCAATCGTACAAATGCTCCATCTAAAAGATCTTTCCTTACAGCATCGTTTGTCCCCGAAGCCCCTTCTTTTTTCCTCTCTCCTTTCTTTCTTTTACAAGTCACCAGTTACGTAAATTAAACATTTCATTTAATTTCTGTTACACGACAATTACTTTGTAAAGTATCCTATAAGCTGTGAGGAATCAACATGGCGGGTGTGGAGATGATTGCTCACTGTAAAAAAATGAACTCGTTTTTCTTGTAGACATCACGTCACCTCAGGGAGCGGGAGCCACAGTCAGGTGGGAACAAGCAATCCAGGCTTCCACGGTTCAACGACCGTGGTGACGTCATACTTACACACGACGATCGTGAACCATGTGAGGCACGCCGACAGCAATCTGTCGTTGTCTCGTGACGAGGTGCGCTCGTTCGAAGACGAAGGAATGGACTCGGACGTGGATGACCTGAGCGAGATAGGGAGTGGAGACGACGGGGACTGGGACAGACAGGATGAAGATAATTGGAACAGACGGTTTATAACACTCACCCGCCAATGATTTCTAAAATCAAACGGTTTAGTTTGACAAGAAAATGACGCAACGCAAACACTGAAAATGACAAATATATTTTATTGATTAGCACATACCAACAGTAGGTAAGGCACACGATTGTATTGTCGAGACTAACTTACAATTTCTTTAATCAAATCCTTAATGTCGAATCGAATTTTCTCGATCTACCGGCTTACTAAAAGGTGATCTGCGAGCAGGCTCACCTTTGAGTCACGCGCGTGAGCGGCGAAGAGCAAAGCGATCAGGAACGATCAGGAGACAGGCTAACTAAAAGGCAGCGTCAATTTTGTTATCGATAAACACTGATTTTATGAGTTCGTTGTAGATCAATGAAAACTTTTTCCCTGAACTGGGAAATTGGTTACGCTATACACGTGACATCATTCTGGTTGTATTGTTTGACCAGTATGCTGCCTCGCCTCAGGCTCCAATCTCATTCCTCGAGTCTTCGTTCTTTAACGAATACGAGCGACTCTCGAGAGTCCAGTTACAGACTCGATTTTGATAGGTTAATTTTAAAAACAATGGAAATGAGTGAAAATAAAACACCAGCGTCTCGATTGAACCGCGTGTTTTTGTCATCTAGTCATGCGAAATTCAACCGGAAGTCCTACATTTTCGGACTTCAATTCGGATGTTTCCAGGGTCGCTCGTTTTCCGTCCGCAGGTCAAGATGAACGAAGACTCAGGATGCGAGGTTATCTCAGGCCCAACCTAAAACAGATCCAGCCGCCTTGGTTTAGCCCTTTGTGGCGCACAAGGAGACGGAGAACTCTTAGCGTGGAGTTAACTTGTAATGCACAGAAATAGCACAGCTTGTAAAATCTGGATGACATCAATGTACGATTAGAATTTTATAAATGCTTCGCCTGGTTTTTACTGCATTAGACGACATCGTCATTCTTCTAGATAGAGTTTGGCCATTGACGATGTTAACATTGTGTAGAAGCATGCCTTTGTTAAATATTTCAATTTCGCTGTACGTCGCCGAGTGCATAGCAATAGTCACAGTGATTGCAATATTGTTTAGAAACTCTTCAGAAAATAAGAATTTTTTACCAGGGAAATCAAAGCTCTCTGCATAGATAAAGCCAAACTAGGGTCTCAAGTCTTTTTGTAACAGATAGAACTGGTTAAACAGTTATCTTCAATGTAACATGTATGCATGTACAGACAGACAAGAAGCTTTTGCCAAATAAATTTCGCGTAAACCGCTTGGACGATGTCGACATTTTTCTTCAACTAAACTCAGTACTGTCACCTGTGTCTACTTTGTCCGGAGTTATCTGAAAATTAAATCTCCTTTTTGGATGCTTTACATTTTTCAGTTCTAAACATTTAACAGTACACCAAGACAGAGGCAGTGGTTACAAGTAGGTATCTGATAGTTACAGTGTCGCGTTAGGAAACTCTTATTCGTTTTCTTCGCGCCAAGTCGGACTCTGTCAGTTATTTTTAAAGAAATAACATTTACAGCTAGAATTTCAGACCGGACTGAAAATGCGCATATAAAACCGAGGGACGAGAAAGTGCGCCACGCTATCAGGCATTTTAGTACAATTCTACAGGTATACCAATGCAAAAGCTGCAATCTGATTGGCTGAACTATTGCACACCTTCGGCCATTAATTTGACGTTTTCTCGTTTCTCCGGTGTATTAGAGGAAGTGTTTGAAATATTGCAGAATCGTTCAACACTGGCCCCAAGAGTGCTAGAGAAAGGAAACTAATATTAGAACAAAATTGAATAGTTCGCTGAACTGAGGAACGCGTGTAAACAGCTTCCAGTCCACTGTAAGAAAAAAGATGGCGACTGGTACATTTACCCATAGTTCTTAGCACACGAAAACTTAAACAACGCTCATAAAAACTTACGGAAAAGTTCCCATATTCTCAAATCCAGCATACACCATGTCGTAAGAACAGGGACAAATATTGCAAAAATATGGCTTTCCTTGTACTCTATGAACTGTGTAAGGCTCGCATGGTATTGTGATAAAATGTAGGGCCGCCATGTTTTTTGTCCAGCGGGGCCTGATTGCAAACAGAACACAACAATTCAACCCGCGCGCGATTTTGCTAAAGTATGAAGTTTAATACTATCCAATAAGTAGAGATTTGTAATTGAAAATTGTTATTTGAAGGAAATTTGGTTAGAATTGTACTTAAACAAGCATATCAGATTATTTTCTCTCGATTCCTATGAGGGGAAAGTTGATTCTGTTAAGTAAATAAGGCACGTTTGGGAAAGTACTGCGTTTTACGACAGAATCACTGATCTGAGGAATGTAGCGTGTAACATTGACTACTGACATTGATTCATAGTTCAATATTACACGCGACAATCCTTGGATAATAACAGTTACAATATAAATAATGTTATGTCTAGGAGTGATCATAGATTGGGGGATGCGTTTGATATGTTGTGTGGCTGCAGTCTGATGGGGAATGTTATAAATGCTTTGTGCTTCGATGTGCATGAGGTGTTGACCTCTAGAGAGTAAATTATAAGTTAGTAGTAAGATCTTTGGGATACGACCTCATTAATTCTTTAACTCGTAGAATCGATAAGTTTTATTGGAAGAATTCTGCAAGCGCACCTATCACAGCTGGGAGGTTAAATAGTTAAAGTGAAAACTGCCATGTCTTGGACCATTACCCCGGTAAGCTATTTAACTCAACTGCGACTCGTGGTTCAGGTTAGTGAGGTAAAGACGGACCACTCCGCTCCAATGTAGTTCGATAGCTGCAGTATATAAAGATGGAGGAGACGTTCAAATGCCGGTTGTATGCCCCCTGCGTATAATAAATGACTGATAACATTTAGCTGTCATTCAAAATCCATATATCTCTTATTATCAAAAACTGGATTATTGGATAATGCAATTCAAGAGTGGCTTAGCCATCACGGTAAATTTAACAATTATTCCACGAGCGCGGGTTGGATATATTAAGAATTGGTGCGGACAGATGCTCGGATACTTGTTCGCGGACATTACCTGTTCCGAGAAGCGAAAAGTTTTCCGAGACCGCAGCACGAAGAAAACTGTGAGCTTTGAGGAACAGACAATGCCCAAGGACAAATATCTGAGCTTATAATCCATCAAATATTTTCGCGCGCGCGATTGGTCTAAACACGTCACGTGACCGAACATTCCCCAACTAAAACTGGGGAATATCCGAGAATATTCCCCAATTTTCAACACTACGCGTGTTGCGAAAAAGATTTGAAGGATAATAAACTCAGTAGCCTCCATTTTGCACGAAAATATGCTCAGATATTTGTTTGGACATTATCTGTTCCTCGAAGCTCATAGTTTTCCACGAGCTACGCTGTCGATGTCCCATTTCAAACCACTAAAATTAGTACACTGCAGAAGTGTACTCTCGCAGCTTGTTATTATTAAGCATAAATAGTGTCAACTACAAAAATTACAGACACTTCTTGGCTAAGTATTCCTGGCTTTGGCAAGAGTTCCCCAGAAATAGCGTTTACATGTCCTTTTTTAATATCTAAGTCAATGTCTGACAGTTCTAAGTGGACTCTCCTAGAAGCTCGCGAGCCTCTTAAGCAAAGTAATGCTGATCTCAGCAGCGCAAAAGACACTCTTGCCCTGATCCGTGACATGGTAATAATAATAATAATAATA